ATTTTTGTACACTTTTTCAAGAAGACTATGTCTCCAGGATTGTTTTCAATGTTTGAGCAAAAAGAAAATAATGCCTGAATTGTAAGTCCAAAATGTAACATCTGTGGATGTTGGATGCTTGGTGGGTTAACCTGCTAACCAGAAAATCCAAATTTCAAATGGAAATACATCATGATGTTACGCAAGACTGAAGGAAGGATCCCACTCCAGTAGGCTGGTTATTATAACTATTAGAGACTTATTGTATGTAAGCATGAGTTGAAACCAAGTCCACCAGGTCTTTGATTCAAACACCCAGTTTCTCAGTTTTGGGTGGCTTACAAATCAGTAACTGCATAAATGGTTTGCAGGCTCTTATTCCCAGCAGGTCAGTTAATGCCAGGGTGTTAGTGTAGCTCGTTACACAAAAGTGGACACATCAAGTTATGGCGTCAGTGTTGTTCTCAGCGTGTAAACCTAAGCAGCGAGTGAAAAAAAGTCATAAGAAAAAAGGAAAAGCAAAGTGCAAAACGCAAAGGTAACAAAGCGCCTGGTGTCTGACTGAATGCCTCTCTGGCAGTGAGTTGACATGCTTCATTAGATTTTGTTGGTTTTAAAAAGACTGTTTCTCATTGGAAGTATAGCAGCTAATGTAAATATAACCATCTCCTGAATAAAATCCATGGCCCACAACTCAAAAGTTTAAAAACAACAGAGGAACAGAGGTCTATTTTAAATACTTTGTCCAGAGCGTGCATAATGGTCAGCCATGTTTTCATGACGAGGCTCAGCGTTCTCTTCTGAAACGGACAGAATAAGAAGGAAAAAAACACGAGGAAAAGGAAACGCTATCCCCTGCAGTTCCCAGAGGACAACTCAGAGGAAGGTGCCATATTACAAACTAATAAGCCCGTGCAGAAATTGTGAAACAACCAAAAATGCACTACAACACACTACAACACACTACAACGTGCACGTGAACACATTTATATTAGGCAAGCTTCATGGCAGCTCAGTGGATTTTATTATGTGCTGTGTGCTACAGAGAGATAACTAAAAGATGAGAGATTTTAAATGAGCCTCCAGAAAATGAGCGCGCGATTGTGTGAGCGCTGGTAGTAATAAGGATGATGGGGTGAAAGGGTGAGGGAGAGAGGGAGAGAGGGAGAGAGGGAGGAGGAAGAGGATGGTGTGAATGGGGAAGTTGAGGTAAGCAAAGAGGGGGGAAATGGAAAAGGCTGGAGAGCTGCTGGATTTAGAAATTGGAAGTCAGCGCTGCATTCACAGCAGCAGAGGGTGAAAGGAGGTGGAGGATGAGGCAGACAGAGAAGAGTGTTTTTAGACACGATAATGCAGACATAGCAGTGCATCCACAGCATGGACAAAATCATCTATAATACAGAGCACGCGTGCTACATGCTTATTTCTGCATTTCTTCTTCCTGCTGCATGCTATTTCCAACTCAGCAGTCCAACAGACACTGCAATTATGTGCCTCTGTTGTTCCTCAGCATCTGTTTTTAACAGCACGTTCAGAACACTGAGACACTCTTTATTATTTTGCTTCCCTACTACAGCTCATTGGGTTTGAAATGTAACATGACTTTGGGATTAAAATATTGTCTCTGAGCTTTAATTTGAGAATGTTTACATCAGTGATGGCTGTAAACATCTGGCCCCTTTATGCACACGGTTCCCCTGTTATGGCGCAGTGCAGCTGGATAATAATACTGAACATTACAGAATAGCCAGCCATAGGGGGGTTATGATAGAAAAGGAGCGTTCTTGACTGGTTAGTTCAATCACATGACCTTAATTTAGTTTCACCTGCCCCCAGCCAATCAGTGAGCAGTGAACATAGGCACAATTACTCACACTCACATTCACAGCTAAGGGCAGTGTAGAATCACCAGTTAGAATAACATGCATATCTTTGGACTGTGGGAGTATCAGGGTACTCCACAGAAATTGCTGTTATAGTTTCCGTCTGCAGCCATAACTGATGACTGTTTAAGTGAGCGAGTTAAAACTAGCCTTTTGAAAAGTTCAAACAAAACGAAATGATTTGTAAACTTGGAAAATGGACGTGTTTATTGAGCCTCTAATTGTCAGCAGTTGACTGAGACTAAACCATTTTCTAAAGCATCCTACGCAATAAAAGTTGTTAAAAAAGCAGGAGCTCAGCCTGAAAGCTGTGTGGAGACAGTTTGGATAATCGGTTTGCTTTGACTGCTTTCCACATAAGATAAGATGCAAACTTAGAAAGATTCCCAGCTTGTCCGATCGCCTGGCTTGCTGTGTTTCTCTTGCCCTGCAGGACGTCTTTCCTAGATCTCAGAGAAGATAGCACAGTCACGGCATCATTAAGCTGCCTGGGGAATACCAGGTGCTTCGATGATGAAACAAAAGGAAACGACCACTTAAAATTAAATCCAAGGTAGCGATTACAGGCAAACGAACAAAACAATATGTCGTTGACTGGCTTCACTATTTCTGTCCTACTCTACCTCTCTTGGCAAACAACAGATAGTGATACCAGTAGAGTATGAAGAATTTTTCTATTAACAGTTCCACCTGCATGTGTGTGTTTTTAGCTTGCAGTGAAGACAACTGCAAACTGTGTTCCACTGTTCTGTTGTCAGGTGTAAGTACAGTATGTAGTCTTTACTGTTAATGGGATGCCAGCATCTATTTTCACTGTCATAGTCTGAGTTCACTTCAAAGAGCACCAATCTGTGGCGGGGAGCCGACTGTTCCTCCTACTGCATGCATCCACACCTCACACAAACACCTTTTTTGTTGCACTTCAAAGTGCATACAGACAATCTGTTGTCTCACACACACAAAAAAAATAATCCCACACACACAGTTACTTATCCCATCATTGTTAGCTTGGAAAACACAAACAAGTGAAACACAGAAAAACTGCCCCACGCTACAGACATTTTTCTTTAGTGAGCAGACTGTGAAAACAGCAGCGAAAGGGGTGAAGCAATTCATTAGCCAAGTATAGAAACAGAGGATCAAATGTACGCTGTGTGACATTCACAATGTTAAGTATGTGAGAAAAAAGTGCAAAAATGATAATGAAACAAAAACAGGCTTCTGACTTTTTAGGAACAAGGTGGGAAACAACGTCTTTTTTTTAAATGACATTTTTAAAAAATTTGACAGCCCACGAACACGACGCCCCGAGAAAAAGCTAAGCACATCCTTACTGCTTCCATAGGAAATACAAGTATTAAAGCGGGGATCATACTTTCCACGGCTGCGAGTCCACTAGGGTCTGCTTGGTCCCAGTGACGTACATTTAGTCATCAGACTGTTAGTGCAGGGGTTCGTGTGAAGGTCTGTACACCTGCCTATTTTCTGTGACCACACAGATGTTTCCTCTTCTCTGGAACAAGATCTTGGCAGCATAGCTTAGGTTTGTAAAGCTACAGATGAACAAACCACAAAACTTGTGAAACAACGTCCTTTGGACAAACAAGACCACATTGGAGATTTGGCCACAGTGCACAGCACATCACCACAAACACCTCATACTAACAGTCGAGTACAGTACTGAAGGAGTGAGGAGATCATATTCTGTGGCCTTTCGTACATTTTCTATTATATCATCTTCTTTGTAACGACCCAAACTCCAAGTGGTTATCAGTAATATCAAAGCGAAACCTATTATGTTCATTTCCATTTACACATTTTTATTCTTGGACTTGTTGATTCACTCATGATTCATAGTTCAAAACAACCCTAATTCATCTTATACTGGGCCTTCATGCAGCCACACATTTCATCTTTTAGCTCCCTTCCCCTCCCTTTAAGACTTTGTTTCCTGATCGTGAGGGGCTTCTGTGCTGACAGCAGAGCCAAGAGTACAAAAAACTACCCGAAAACAGCATTTTAGAGCAGCCTGAAGCCCGAGCTGTTGTTTTACAGGGATTAATAGCATAGGGACTGATCTCGCTATTTAAAACTTTAGTCATATTTACAATATGATCATCCCCCATTGGAACAGTATATTCGTGCAAATAAGAAGAAGCACAATAGGGAATCCCAATGAGTGCAGTTTTCCCATTTCCATGTCTCCCTCACGACTCCCAGTGTCTTGGATTTAAAAGCCATAAAAACAAATATTTTCATATCCATCACAGATTAAATCTGATTCCTCACAAGGCTCTTGGCAGACAGCTCAGGGGAATCTATTTTGCTTGTTTGTTTTCAAAAGCAGTTCAGATGAGATTTATCCAGGACCCCTGCAGAGAGGGACAAAACCCACCCCAAAGCCTTATCTTCATAACGTATGACTAATCTCACTGTGGCCTGAGAAAGAGGGGGCCAACAGAGCAATGAGAAAGAGTGAGCGAAGCGGTGAAGAATGCAAAGGGGTCAAATTGAAAGTATCTGGTGTCGGTTTTAAAAACCTCTGACTCTTCTGCAGAACGTGACACAAGGAGAATATGTTTGGAGTGAAAAAACAACCTTACTGTAAAACATATTCCACTTTAACATTGAGCAACAGAGTATCATGGTGTGTTGTAGCAGCTAACTTTAACAATAAAAGCATATCATACTTCAGATTCAGCCACCAGATCCACTAATGGAAGCTCCTAATAGAGATTCAGGGCCAGGGTTAGTGTTACTACCTATGATGACTTACACCTCAGAGAGCTAAGTAGCCGAGTTTAAGTGCAGTTAGTTTTTCTAAGCATCAAAGTTGAGTTATATGATTCCCTTGACTGTGTGATGTTTTCCAAAGAGGTCAAGGTGGAGTGTTTAGAAATGATCAGTTATGCTGGAGTATTTAAACTTCCACCCAAGATATCAGTCGATACATTTAACTGTTGCTGAGTTATGATCAAATTCATTTAGGCTTTAACAGATTATTCTAGGCTTTCATAATAGCATTACTGCCATTGCCAAACACAGCAAAGGATACACCAGGAAAGAGAACAGAACAGAAAAAGGAGAGAAGAAAAAGAGCAAGCAAACAGGCATGAGAAGGTGAAGGCTTGTACTTACTGAGCACGTAGAGGGAGAGAGCAAGGCCCGCCAAGCAGAAACCCTCAAAGAAGCGCAAGGTGCTGAACATGGTGACATTTACAGAGAAGGCAACACTCAGACCAAACACCAGCATGAAAAGCACCGAAAGGATCAACACTGGGTGTCGACCAAACCTTAGAAACAAGAGAGAAAGACAGGGAGATAAAGACGTAGCAAAGAGCTTAAAAACCCAGTCAAACTGAGAAAGAAACTTTTCATGTAAAGTCCGGAGAAAGAGAACATTGCATTCATCGTTTCCTTCAGACTCTAAGCACGTCCTGGTCTGGAGGGGCGGGGGAGGGTTAGGAGGTCATTGGGTCAGGTCCCAACTGAGGCCTCATGGCCCGCGTGCTTCTTTACATTGTTTTCTTTACATTGTTGTGCATAGTTGCTGATCCCTAACACAATGCAGGTGCTTATTTTCCCACGATGCCACTCGGGCGGCTTGCAGACGGCAAAAGTGACCATAATTAACTTGGTGACAGTGGCATTTTGCTCAGTTACAAAAGATATTGTAGCATTTAGCTTTGCAGATAGTTCGATGTTTAACCATTAAGGCTCTGCGATACTGTTCTTTAAGCTTCCTACCACTCCTAGAGAAGCTGTCAGACATTTCTTTTTTCTTATTCTCGATAACTCTGGATAAACCACTTTTACAATCTGGTTAATGCCAATTCCACTGTTTGTCTTTTTAGTTTGATTTTGTTGTTATTGATTTTTGAATGGCTTTAAAATCCTCCTCACACAATTTTAGACATTTTTAAATATCTAGCCAGCTAAAGATTGATGTGACGCGACAGTCAACAGCGCTAATATCAGCTGATGCTGATCTTCACCCAATCAACTGGTCCGTCCTTCGATAATACATTCACTGGCATTTTTTTTGTCACCTCGCTAGTACCAGGTTGGACCCTTACACCACCACCAACCTGAGCCATTACATGCAGGTTGGATCTTTGCTTTCATGCTGCTTATGGGAAATTCTGACAAGATTTGAATGTAGCAGCAGAAACAGATGTTTCCATGTTCTATTGTTTAATTTTGGGAAATCCATGCAAACTGTAGCCTCATTTTCCTGTCATTTGCTGACAGCAGCAGTATTCAGCGTGGTCTTCTGCCCGTACAGTCCATCTGCCTCGAGGTTCAACGTGTTGTTCAGAGATGCTCCTCTGCATGCCTTGGTTGGAACGAGTGGTGATTTGAGTTACAGTTGCCTAATAATAGCTCTAAGCACTCTGGGCATTCACCTCTGACCTCTGACATTAGGAAGATATTTGCACCCAGGTAACTGACCATTTTCTTTCAACTCTACAAGCTGTGTGGGAAAAGCCCAGCAGATGAGCAGTTCTGACAAGATAAACCCATCTGCTACTAATAGCCAACATTCAAAGTCACTTAAATCACCTTTCTTTCTCAATTTGAACTTCAGCAGGTCATCTAGTTCATGTCTAAATGCACTGAGTTCCTGCCATGTGATTGGTTGATTAGATATTTCAGCTAACGGTTAAACAGTGGTGCCTAATGAGTGACCGATGAGTCTATATTCTTTGAGTTTATTGAAACAATAATGCAGCACAAAGACATACTGCAGTGTGTTAAAGGGAAAGAAACAAGGTTTTAAAAGAATGGGCAAGTTTGGTTAATTGTTACTTACACTTTTTTTTCCTTCTTCTAGATATGTTTGGCTTTTCTTTGGGAATTTTTTTTCAGCCTGCCTGACCATGTTTTTCTAATTCCAAGCAGTTCAAGCAGTGCTGAGAACACTGTTACCATACTGTTACCACCAAATGCAGATCTTAGTTGTGACACCTGGAATTATCCTTACAGTCTAACAAAACAGACAAAGAAGGAGGCAGCGTACCAGTCAGCCATGACACCCATCACTAGGTATCCAAATATGGAGCCCACAAGCAAAGAGAACTTGGCAATGTGAACCTTCCAGGCCGAGTCACACACTAGGTTCCACTGGAACAGAAACAAAAAGAATGAGAGAAACATAAGTCAGATATTGTTTTTAGAGAAAGGCACTCCCAACATGTTAAAAGGGAATAAGACATCAGGAGGAGCTGAGACACTTATAATATGAGCGCTGCACAGAAGCCAAAAAAGAAACGTGGGCTTCTCTCATCAGAATCCTGTCAAACTCTTTTCACTCTCTGACTCACTGTGTTGATAATTCATGAAGTCGGACGCATCTGCAAACATGCCACAAACACTTCTGAAATATTCAAGCGTTCATCCCACATCTATATTTATGTGTGTTTCTGAGAGACAGCAGACACAGTGCATGTGGGAAAGCAGCTGTATGTCTGTTATAACAACAATCAATAGTTTCCCACTCATTCCTCTAAGCCAGTGGGTCAGTGCACACACCGCTGCAGCACTCAGCATCTGAAGTTTAGCCAAGGACACATGCAGAAGCATTATATGTGCACCGTACTTGTGCATAGCCTTGACAGCATCTGCAAGAGAGCCCAGTGGAGTGACTGAGCTGTGTGTGAATCCAGTGTTGGTGTTTAACAAAAAATTTACACATCTCCCTGCTGAGCATCCAACTGCACCACGAAGAGTGAGTAGAAAGAGACAGTTAGAGGTTATGCTCTATGATGGCTGGACAACACAGCCACTGTGAGTTTATTAAGTCTGGGCTTTTAGCACCGCTTTTATCTGAGAAAGCAGGTGTCATTAATGCACAAATGCAGAAGCAACGATCAGCATTGTTGCTTATTAACGTTCAGCCTCTTCTTGTCACAAGGATTCAGTTTGGTGGGGGTTTTTTCTGAATTCTGTCTCTGGATTCCAAGAAAAAATAAATAAACTAAGGTTTGAACATAAGTACATGTCAGAATTATCCTGCTTGAGGACCCCGGGGCAAATATGTCAAACAGAGTCTCATTATGCTTCTGTGTTTATTGTGCTTGAATACTGCCTCGTCCCACTACCTGTAGAATAGTATGCTAATGTGATCATTAATGTATTATCTGTGCGCTGTGCGATATAAATGAGTCAACCAAAGTTTTCAGCTATTGTGACACAAGATATGGCTTCAGTATTAGTTTATTGCCATAAACCAGTTGACACTAGCACCAGCAGAGCTCTGGGTAAGAATACTAGTCTTAATGTATGTGGGAAAACCTCCCATGATGCACTGAGCACTTCTCCTTCATTGGCCTCTTTTGACTCGCCATCTGTTTATACACAACTTCTGCATGTCATTAACTCTTTTTCAGCTCTGTCCTGTAGTTTGTGTATGTGTTAGGCTCTCCGGGCTCCTATTTTCTCTTTCTCTCTCTGCACACTCCACTCATACACTCTGGAATTCAGGCGCTTAAGTGTAAGATGTAAAAAGAGTCTCATTATTCTCTTTGAACTGATGTACCAGGCAGCACCAGCTCACTCCAAAGCACAATAAATAAATAAATAAATAAACAGTACGCGGGTCAGTGGGTAACGTGTCAATCAACTGTCTGAGGCTGGCAGTAGTGATGATGACGGCAATTCCCCCCCCCCACCCATCCACCCAACCCTGAATAACACTATGGGTTTATGGCGCTCACTCGTTACCTTGGTAACCACATTCTGACTAAGTCCCGTCTGCAGCTCCAGCCTCCACTCCTTACAAGCGCACAACATTCCGACGCCGTCGCCGTATTCGTGCCCGGTGCCGTTGCCTGTGGGCATCAACGAGGGCGCGATGCTGGTGACGCTGACCGGCGGGGACGCCGCGGTCCAGTCACTTTCGTTTGCCAGTGGCTGCACGCAAGTGCCATTGGGCTGCGCCAGGAGGAAGTAATCCGAAAACTGACTAAAGCCGATGAACAACGCCGGTATCCAGGTCAGGACCACGAGCTGCTTCTGGTGTTTCCCAAAGCCCCCGAGAGACGGCAGAACGGAGCCGTCGATGTGCGGCAGCAGCCGGGGCGCCGGGCGCTCCACCGGGGTGAAGCCGTTCTCAGGCGTGTGGTCCTGCGCCTCCGGCCGTCCCGCTGCCATTACGACCCGGCACAAAGAGAGCAGCTGTGCGCAACAGCGGGCGAAGCGAAGCCCCCGCTCTGTCGCCCTCCGCGCACTCTGCGTTAAGCCCTTTGACACAAAGGAAGCTCGCCGCACAGATAAATCCGGTGTACGGCCAACAAAAGCACAAACCCCAAAACACACACAGACAGAGAAAGAGAGACACAGAGAGAGAGAGAGAGGGGAGGGAGGTCTCCGATCCGTGCGGGCGCGCAGATGCACCGAATCACCGAGCAGTCGTCCTCATGGCGACGGGACTTGAAGTGACCGATGGGTGTCCGAGTGGAGCGGCTGTGTCAGGAGGAGGATGACGCTGTGGAGAGGCTCCCGGAGAGCGGTGGGCTCGGACGGGCATGCTCACGGGCACGGGCTTTGTATTCCATGAGTGCAGCCGGATCCCTCCATGCGCCAGGCCCGGTGGTTGAATGGAAGTGTGATACTGAGCTGCATTCAGATCTTCGCAAGATCTGCCGGTTCCTCATCCGCGAGTGCCACAGGTCTCATACCTGTCCAAAACGCGACCCTCTTCAGGTGCGCGTCATTTATCTCCTCGAGCCCAGAATGCGCGTCCTCGCAGACATCGCGAGTCCACTTTTGAGAGCGCTGAGTTCAGAGACGCAGTGAAGCACGCTGCTCGGTTTGTCACAGTCTAGTCAATGGGACGCTGTGCCAGAGAGGGGCTTGGAGCAGTAATGGGGGACGGAAGACAAACCCCGCCCTCCTTCGTCGCGCTATGCGCTGCGATTGGAGAGCCTTCAAAGAGCGACTGCACCACTGACGGGCATCTGCAGGCAACAATGATCCCCTTTGTGCAGCCTATGCCCTCTGCACTGAGCAGAAAGCGTGTCAGGATTACGCACTCATCATGTTTTCCGCTGATTCCACATGATTCACGGTGAAGGGATCAAGTAGAGGGCTCAAGTTTGTGTCTTGTGTTTTTTTAGTCGATTTGTGCCGAAGTGTCCGCCGAACAGCCCACTCAGGCAGTTTTGCGTCATACAATCTTTTTCATAACCGTCATATAAATAGGCAACGTTACTTACTGGTTTGGGGAGACAATAGAAGAAGATGGCAGGGGATTGGAGGAGTGATGTGCTGCACCTCAGACGCGAGGGGGCGTTAAACGACCGCAGGTCGGTTATATCAGCTCTAGATCAGACAATCGGCAAAAATCCAAGAAAGGGAAATAAAAAAATAGCCCGTATTCATAAGAATGGTGCACGTTGGGACATAAATGAGGGCCAAGGCTCTTTGGTCTTCAGATGTGGCTGTCGATATGGTGATGTGCCAGCGTCTGTCGCACATGTGAGTGACCTTGAGATTCCAGCGAGTGACAGATTTTGTCTCAGGACTGGGAAAAAAGTGTAATGTGTGAAAACTAGTGTGACTTGCGTGAAGCTGTGAGCAGTGTACTCCTGAATGATTTTGAGTGACATGAAGCTGGTGTTCAGGCTGCGGCTCACTGAGGTGACAAAGAGGTGACAACTTGTGCTCAGCCCCAACTCATTTCTCACCTCCTTCTTTATCCCCAGAGCACTTTGTTACGGCTCGACGCTGAGGAGAAGGAAGAAGCTTAAAAAGAACCCAGGAGGCTGTTTTGTCGTGTGTGTGTGCGTGTGTGTGTTCCAACCACACCCATGTTGTACCACATACCAGAGCTGACTTGTGCTCTGCCCTTATTAGAATGCAACCCCATCAGTACATCCAAAAACAACAACAACAATAATTATTGAGTTTGATTTTGCAAAACTACACCGTGTGGCTTAGTGAGTTGAACTTATGGTCATTTCATTTAAAGTAATGCAGAACCCCATCTATAGAGGATAACCTTTGTTATTTTGTCACAGCTACAGCTGGCAGATGTGCGGTGCACAGGGAATTGCCAGGTTTCTGTGGCTCGCTGGTATGTAACTGTGCCTGTGTAAAACGTGCGGCTTGCAGTTTTCTCAAGGAGTGCTGATCCAAACCACCCGAGTGAGTGACTGAAGTCACATTGTGACACATTTGTTAAATTAAAGAAGAGAATAAAGAATAAAGAGATTTTTTTTAAAAAGTCAGTAAAAGCTAAAGGAGTTTGCATGTTCTCCTCACATCTGTGTGGGTTCTCTCCAGGTACTCCAGCTTTACTCAAAGGTGTAAATGTGAGTGTAAATGGTTGTCTGCCCAGGATGTACACCGCCTCTCGCCCTGTGGCAGCTGAGATAAGCTCCATCAACCCTGCAGCCCTGAACTGGATAAGCAGAAGAAAATCAATGGATAGACGGTGCTTTATTGAGACATTTAAACTTAGAGTAAGTCATGAGAACATAACTGTTAGAGAGTGTTCTCATGAACAGAGAGAAAGTTTGTCTGTATCCCTCTCGCCAAATACACACAGAGTGGCGCAGGCAGCAGTCACTTCACTCCATTACATGAGACCCGCTCATCGAGATGGTCTCCAGCAAAACACTCTCCAACTCTGAAGTGGTGCAGATAAAAAACTGTTGAGACAGGTGATGTACAGACAGAGAGATGAAAATAGAGAGATTTTACACATTATTATTAATATATCCAAAATAAGCATTTAATGATTTCCTATTGTTCAGCCTGTGGGCACATCTACTCCATAGGAATCATTCACCATAAACAATTTCAGAGTTAAATGATGAGATATATTGATCTAACAGAATGAATGAATGCTTTATTGGCCATATGCAGGTTGCCCCGCAGAGGAATAGGAGTGTCCTAGGAGTGTCCTTCGCCCTATCAGGCTAGGTAAACAGTCTGCTAGCCAACCCAGGTGGCGTTGCATGGGATGGGAAGAATAGTCATCACACAGTCGTTATCAGGGAGTTGTTGTTGTTCGGCACCAGCCTTGGGCCCGCAGCTGGCGCCTTGGTTTCCGCATGTTGAATTCGTTGATTTTTCTTTTATGCAAGCAGCACAGGAGAATTTAAAGCTGTTCTTTAACACTCTGACGCTGGTCCCTCAATCTCCCGTTGGAGCATAGGAATGGTACAAGTGCAGTAAATCTGGTGATTTCTAAAGTACTTCTTAAATTTATCAAGTATCAAAACAGTCTCAGCAGTCGGGTGATTAAGCAGACTGTAACCAAGATCATTTTGGTATTTTTAGCAGCTGATAAAGCATCATGTGGTGGGATTACCAGCTTTTAGTTCTAGGACCACACACTTCTTCAAAGCTAATCTTCATTTTATGTTAATAGCAGGCTTGCAGTTTTATTGCATGGAACTTGGATTGTTGTAAAATCTCTCCACTACAGACAGACACACCTGCCAAAGCAGTCAGAGTCACCTTTGTGATTGTTCCTGCTGCAGTGGTTTTCTTTCTCCAGCGCCACTTTTTGCCATAATGAAATGGACACGTGGACAGACACAACCACAGAGTGGAAACATTACTCGCTACACTGTGTTAGGTAAATATTACACCTTCTCACCCTAGATGACAATACTTCCAATGAAAAGCTACAATTCCATTAATAAATGTAAAACTGTGAGATCTAAGCCAATGTCATGATGACCCTGACCCTAAGTTCATGGTAGTCAGTCATCATTTTAAGTGACAGACATCAAGTAAAGTCAGGGTTAGGGTCACTAATGATGATTTAGATTCGAAAAGGTTAAAAGGATGTGGCACTCGTGTGCCCTCTTCTTCAGGTGCCAACCCGGGGATTGGACCACACCTGCACATTTTCATAACACTCCAAGGTGACATTTAAATGCCTGCCAAAGTGCTCAAAACTCCCTCTGTTGTAGTCCTGCCAAAGGACATTTCCCAAACACAAGGAGAGATACAGAAAGACTCACAAGGCGAAAACAATATCAGCAACACTTTCATAGCTAGTTAACAGAAAACCTGTTGGTGATTTTCCCATCAAATCCACCATTAACAGACAGTTAGTCATAATCTGTCATCTCATTAGGCTGACTCTTTACACAGGTAAGAAAGATGCAATCAGCACAATCGTTATCACTTAAAGTAAAGCACAGGGAAACGCTAATGGCCCACTGACTCCAGCAAAACTGTAGCTTGCCTCAAAATAGAAATGTAAAAAAATGTAAAAATGATTGTGAATCAACCACAGCTTGCTTTGTGAGGCTTCCCACCTAACATCAGCTTGCTGAGGTGGGAGAAAAGGTTAACTGTTTGGATTTTGTGGAGGAGCTGAATCGGAGCGTATTTGAGCTGGCAGTTCTCACACATTGACCGTGAGACTCGGGGAACTTCAGAGAGTACTTTTCATGCTCCCTCACGTCACACATGAATGCAGGCTGTTCAGTAGGTTATATGTTATGTAATTGCTGAGTTGTGTGATGCTTAGTGCCACCTAGAGGTAATTTTAATAGACCAAGTTGCAGAAAAATACTTGAAATTAAGGCTAATTGGTCATTTTAAATAAGGGTGGCTGCAGTGTCTCATCCCTTTCTGATTGTGAGAGAAGTGAAGAAAGCAAAATGATGTTTACACTGATGTTTAAGTATTTCTTGAACCCCTTCTTCATTAATTAATGAAGGTTGGCAACTGGTGTGACTGCTTATGTTTGTTGTTAAAAAGTCCAACAGTCTATCACAGCCGCATGTTTATGAGGTAAAGCTAATGACTCAACTCACAAGTTCCAGTCAGGTCTGTGCTGCCTTTCATAAGTCCCCAGAAACCAGTGACCCACACTGGCTCAGGTGTCAGGTGGCATTGATCACCGGCTCCTCCCTCTCATTCATCTCTCCCTTCCCCAGCCCTGTCTCCATGCACCCCCCCAGGAGGCATATCCATGTCAGCCTGCTGCACAGGTACACCACTGTCACAGGATGACTGAGCTGCAGCAGACTGCTCTCCTGCTCTGTCCTTCCTTAAGGTAGACAGCAAGCTACACAATGTACTACATAATATTATTCAAAGCTGCAGGTTTATACCAGCTTAGATTTGACTGTTTATGTGCAATCTGAATGTTTATACATCAACCTGCAACCTTGCATCAACCTGAACAACAGGTTGATGCAAACTGCCTCAGGCAGTCAGTTGTGCTTTTATTTTTTCCTTCCTTATATATTCTCCATTTTATTCACACACATCTGCAGAGGTGCAAACAGAAGAACACGAGAGCTTTCTTTCACTTCCTTGCTTCCAAGTCTCTTTTTAACATCGATTCAATGCCCTTCATTAAAAATTCATGGCTGCCAAAGCCTTAAGAATAAAACCTAATTCTTCTCTTTGAGTGTCAGTTTGTGTGTGTATGTGGTGTGTGTGCACGCCCATGTGTGTGTGTGGTTGCCAAATATCCAGCTGCACCCATAACTCTCCAACAGCACTTGTATCAGGAAATTCAAAGTGTGTGCAAACAGAGTCTGCACACAAAGCGAATCCAAACGAGCAAAAACACATAAATGAGCCATGCACTAAAGACATTTCAATTCAGCTGCTCACTAATGTCTCTCTATTGTATGTGTTTGTTGCTGTGAGGCTTGCCTGGCTCTTCTTTTGGCTTTACTTGGCATGAACTAGACTAGGCATTTAGGATTTTTACAGCCTGGGTGTGAAAATGTTCTCAAAATGAAGTGAGTTTCTGAGAGCTGCAAAAACAAGTCTGCTTGGGTCTCAAACCCATCTGTCACTACTTTCCTATTACAAAAGCAGATTTTCACTTTTGGACTTGGTTCCAGCAAAACTATTTTTAGAAGTATTTTTGCGGGAAGCTTTGGTAAGAACAAGGT